GAACCCTAAAGCCCCAAAGGGCTTGAGGTTTGGTATCCGTGGGCAGAACTCAACCGCAGGACTTAGGGTTTAGGGTCAAAAGCTTGCTTGGTTTAAGGTTTAATGACTGGTTCGGGTATCATTGGGCTCTCCGGAAAAGCAGGATCCTGCTTGCAGGCCTTCACCCGCAAACCCTCTTGCGTCGGCGCAATGAAACCCTAAGTGCCCAGTTACCGATATGTTGGTTTACTGGGTTCGCGGTACTGTAGGGTTTATCTATAAACCTTAGGCGGTAAACCCTCAACCCAAAGAGGCTGATAAGGAACCATAGCCCACTGCATGGGTAATCCTCTGAAGTAGGGCCCCTTTTCGGATCCTATCTGTAAGGGGGCCGTACTATTTTGGGGACCCAAAAGGGGACCCTACTTAGAAAACTAGCCACATGAGTCATTGGATAGTTCGGAACATCAAAGACCAGAAACCCGACATCACCGGCCTTTCTCTGATGAAGGCAAGAAGAGTGTAGGGTTCTAGGGTTGTTGGGTAAAGGGTTTAGTGTTCAGGGTAGAGGGTTTTACGGTTTAGGGTTTTAGGGCTTTAGGGGTTCAGGGTAAAGGGCTTTCGGGTTCAGGGTTTAGGGTTTTAGGGCTTCGGGTTTGGGGTATAAAGGTCCGACTACATGGGCCCTGATTTAGGAGCCCTTAATAGTTAGGAAATGGTTTTGGGATATATTCTATGATCACAATAAGGAACACCCAAAATAGTATAGTTACTTATTTAGGCCCCTATATTATACCCTCGGGACGATCTTGGGGGCTGGGCCGTCGAGCATGATCCTCCCGCTGTCTGGCTCGTACCAGCGCCTTACAGGTTGGCGGGAGGTGAATAGAGGGGCCTTGATAAATAGAATAGAGTTTTGGGGTCCTCTATACTATAATTATAGTAAGGAGCCCCTAAAATAATGTAGGTAATTATTTAGGCTCCTATATTAGGTTGGTTGGTTTAGGGTTCAGGGTTCAGGGTTTACCAGCACCCCCCNNCCCCAACTACCCTCTATTATACCCTGAATACCCACTATTAAGCAAGGGATCCATTAAAGGGTACTTGGGGGGGTGCTGGTGGTTTTTAGGGCATTTAATAAGAGTATGTTTGCCTCGTGAAGCTGACTTCTTAAGGCGGGCAGCCGTGGTGGTTCATTTTACGGTCTGCACTGTAGCCTGCAACGCTGAAATCCTAAGCCTGAAACCGAAATCCCAAATCCACTAAACCCTACACTCTTAAAGCCTATAGAACCTGACCCCCAGCAGCTGCATCCCTTCCCCCCCCACACACACACACACACACACTGCGAAAGCACCGCCAACCTTCTGCAGCCTCAGGCTTTCGAACCGAGCCTTTTGAGCTGAAAGCCTCAAAAACACTGTGCAGGGTAGCATAAGGAAGCCCTCACGTAGGGGCCTTCACAGTTAAAACAGGGTTTTGAGCTCCTCTACAGTATCGCTATAAAGAGCCCTAAGGAATACTATTGGTAATTGTTTAGGCTGTTTAGGACTCTATATTACTTCCATGTAGCTTCACACCCACATGAATGAAGGTCCGCCAGGTAACCATAGGTTTTGCCCAGATCCAGTCTAAACTGAAGTACTTCTGAGCCTGCATAAGGATACCTGCCTCCATAGGCCCCTTTACTGAACCCTGAAACTTAAGCCCTACAGCTTCAGCCGTAAACCCCCACACCCTCAAGCCCTGAACCCCAGCCAAATCCAACCGGTCAATAAGCTCCAGACTGAAGCAGCGCCGCGACCGTGCTCTTGCCACTACCAGAAGGACCGACCTACTACACTTTCAGATTTGAGGGTTTAGGATTTAGGGTCTAAACCGAACCACTACAACTCAAACCCCAAAGCCCTACATAGATTTCAAGCCAGGAGATTTGGGCTGATTTTGAGTTTATTGAATCCAGGTCCCCTCAACCCCAAGCCTTGGTCCCCCAAAGCCCTAGACCCTATATAGGCCCTAAACCTGGGAGTCCGGGCAACCCTGGAGTGCTAAACTCTGCCACCCTAGATCCTACAAGCCTCAGCCGAAGCTTTTGACTTCAGAAGCCAAGTTTGCCTTTTTGTGGCAGTCTAGGGTTTTTTTGTTTGAGAGCCCTTTTCCACCTCGCAACTAGTCACGGAGTAGAGACCCGCAGCCTAGGGTTTAGGGTGTAGGGTCTGGGTTCTTCTTCGCGGCTTGGGCTCAGACCCAGGCTATCTAAACTGAGAAGCAGCACGATCGGAGTTCTAACTTAGCCTTATCATATTATACTACACTACACTACGCTACAATATACAAGACAACACTATACTATACTACCTCCACTATACTATACTTTACTTCACTTTGGCACAGGGGAGCCCTAAGACAGAATGCTGCCATCATTGAGCGCAAGCTGTCCATGGGTAACAAACGGGCCTTAACAATTAGAATAGGGTTTTGGGGCCAATTATACCAGAGTTATAATAAGGAACCCAAACATAATATTGGCAATTATTTAGGCCCCATACTTTTTTTGTTGGCTGAATCCAACTCGGCATCCGCAAAACTAGTACTGGAAACACTTGAAGAAACCTATGATCGCCGCAGGCTGTCAAATACAATAGCAATCCAATCTAAAGGAGCGGCTCTATGGATATATAGTGAGTATAGTATAGTATAGTATAGTATAGTATAGTATAGTATAGTATAGTATAGTATAGTATAGTATAGTACAGCATCGTATGGTACAGTATCACGACATCGAAACTCTCGGCATTTGGTGGCGAGCTTCACATCAACCACCCTGCCCATCCCATAAACCCTAAACCCTATCCCACGGGCCAGCGCGGTCGTTCGCCCAGGTGGCACATCGAGGTCAATGCCTGGCGAGGGATGAGCAGAGGAGCTCAGGTAGAGAGAAGGCAAAACTGAGTATCCTCGACTATACCTATACTATACTGTACCATACCTCACTATACTAGACTAGACTATACCATACCGTACTAGACTATATACTGTACCATAATATTAGGGTTTAGGGTTTAGGGTTTAGGGTTTAGGGTTTAGGGTTATATAATATACTCTTACCATTTGCGAACCCTGATGGTTTGCGACTGTCAGAGTGCACTATGCCGACTCATGGGTTCCCGCTAAAGGGTTTAACGTCCATAACTTAGAAACCACATTGACATAAGGGGTTTGGGCTTAGGGGTTAGGGTCTAGTTAGGGGTTAGGGATTTAGGGGTTAGGGGTTAGGGAATTCGGGGATAGGGTTTAGGGGTTGGGGTTAGGGGTTAGGGGTTTGGACTTAGGGGTTTGGGGTTAGGGGTGTGGGGTTAGGTTTTAGGGGTTATAGCAGAAGCCAGAAAGTTGGAACATCAATATCCTCATGCCCTTAAGGTAAAGTGTAGGGGATTCTAGCACAAATCCTCCTAAACCCATGTTCCAACTTTCTGGGGTTCACAGTATTGGCTAGAGGTCACTTAATAGAAAGATCCGTGACACAAGAACCCAGAATCCGTTACAATCCGTGGCTCAGCCTCTGTGACAGAACAGTAGGGCAAGGCTCTTGCTTGCAAGAAGACAGGGGCTTTGATCAGACCCACAATGGGGAGCAAATGCAGGGTTCTTCATCCAAGTAATTTGAAAGCCCATCGGGCTTCCAATCCAATATAGTTATTGGTGCAGGATCAAGGGAACCCTCAAACACACTTGACGCTTTAAAACCTAAAACGTTATAGCGAGCGTTCTAGAAACCCTTACACGAACTCTTACAAGAACCCTTCGAGTAACCCTCGCGGTATCTATGCAATCTTAAACAAATGACCTCGTAGGACGGGCTCATCCTCACGGGCAGCGTATGCAAAGGTGACGTTGCCTCAGAGGTCTCGGGGGTCTCAGGAGTATGTTCACGGTTCTATAGGGTTCATGAGACATGTTCTTGGTGGTTGACTTACACTAATTATGAAGGCAAGTTCAAGAGAATTGTTCTAAGGATGTTGAGGGGTGGAGGTGGAGGTGATTTGCGGGGAGTCAAGGGTTTGCTGGCCTGAGGGTTTTTGGGGTTTGGAGTTTAGCTGTGGAGGGTCGGGGCCAAGGGTTTAAGAATCTAATCTCAAAAGCATCCCAAACAGCACTACTGCGGAAACCCCAAACCGGCAACGTTAGGTCTGCCACAATTTGGCTTTGTGGATGCCGTCGTCATTGCTCAGTTGAAGGACCCTACATGACCCTAAACCCTAAACCCTGAACCCTACATCCTAAATTACCCCGAACCTGCAGTGTCTTTGTTTAGAGTGCCGGGGCTTAACTATTGCTGCAGGCGCCCTTGCGCACGCTTCCCTGACCCTACACCCTTCGCCCCAATGCCCGGAACACCCCCCTCCAGGGGTCCTCCTGAGCATTACTAGCACCGGCATCTTACCTAGACTCATAAACCTTCCACCCGAAACCCTGAACCGCCGTGACCTATGCCTGCTAGCGCATCGGATCCCTGAACAGACTCTTCGAAAATGAACCGTAAACAAACAAACCCAAATAAGCCCTCATGCGTCTTGAGCTCTTATAAAACACTGAAACCCAAAGACACCCCAATAAACCCTTATGAACCCCAAAGACATCCTGATAACCCCTAGAGAAGCCCTACGCCCCAAAACATCTAACACCCTAACTCCTAAACTAAACCCTCAATCCCCAAACCTTGTTACACACCCTGTGAAACGGCCACCCAAAGGATTCCTGGAACTAGCTCATGGTTGGGATAGTGGGTTTAAGTAGCCATAACAATGTAACTTGCTACCAAGCTAAGATAAAGGGAACCCTAAAACCCTCAACCCTATTCCCCAAACCCTAAACCCTAAACCCTATAGGCCCTAAACCCTTAAACCCTAAACCCTATAAGCCCTAAACCCTAAACCCTAAACCCTAAACCCTAAACCCTATAGGCCCTAAACCCTATAAGCCCTAAACCCTAAACCTAAAACCGCGGGAGGCCCCCCGGCGGAAGGACACGGCCCCCCTCAGATCCTCGGCAGGTACCACCTGCAACGCTGTCCTGGGTAAAGGCTTCTCAGAGGATTTAGGGTTGTGGGTTCAGGTTTTTTTTTTTTTTAAGTGCAATAGCCTCTTTCTCCATCCGCCACGAAGCTTGCCCAGTCGGGCATACACGGGTTGAGGGTTTAGGGCTTAGGGTTGAGGGGTTAGGGTTGAGGGTTTATGGCTTAGGGGGAGGCTCCCAGAGGGCCCAGATATTATCTGAGGGGTCCTATGGGGTCGGGTCTCCGGCTTTTGGATTTAGTGCCACTTTGGAGGCTCTTCTTCCGATAGATATCCCAGAGGGTCCATAAATACTACCATCATGGAAGTAGGCCCCAAAAGACCATCCCTATGACCTAACTCCATGATGGTAGTATGTATACACCCTCTTTCGTGTCTGCCTTTGCTTTTAGCTTCGGGCTTTGAGTTTAGGATTTAGGGTTTAGCGTTTGAAGCTTCGGACTTTCTCTCCGCTAGAAAGCCTAGTTTTTTTTGAGGGCTCTTTTCCGTCTGCACGCCCTGGGCTTAGAGGTTAGGGTTTACTAGTGGGTTTGGGGTTTAAGGTTTGGTGTTGGGATCTTGTTTCTCGGGCTTTATCAGGGTCTAGGGCTTAGCACCCGTGCTTCGGGCTTTACAAGGGATGCTTCTTGGTTTTATAAATTCTCCATAAGGGATCCTGAAGTCACTAATTACCTATAGTCTCCATTGTAGTTCCTTTTTTTCGTTTAACCAATTATATATAAAGGATTCTATAAGGTATCCCCAAAAAGGAACTACAATGGAGACTATAGGTAAGGGCTTGATCAGGGCTTAGGATGGGCTTTGTAGGGGGCTAAATAACAATGTTGCACCTGGCAAGGTGGAAGGCTCAGGCTAGCACGCTGCAGTCGCCACCATCGACGGGGAAGGAGGCATCTCGGCATACTCAAAGACCTGGAATCCCACAGGAGCCGTCTTTCTTTTGTGGAGAAGGGGGGGGGCGGCGTAGTATAGCCCGCTTTAGGGTGGCCCATGAACCCTACCCTACATCCTGCTTTAGGGTAGCCCTGAACCCTGCATCCTGCTTTAAGGCTTTGGATGTAGAATCGTGCACCGACCCAAAGCTGCATGGAAACGGGACGGTGTGCAGCTGCTTTGGCATCAAAGCTGCGAAGCGATTGCGATTTGGGGTTGAGGGTTGAGGGTTTAGGGTTTGGGGTTTAGGTTTAGGGTTTAGGCCGTTTAGGGTTTAGGGTAAAGGGAAGGACACCCTGAACCCTTAAACCGCTCCTGTGCACTCAAGGATCGAAGCCACGCCACAGTCTCAGAAAAACAGGGGTGCTCTGCCTGCGGATGCCTCGTCATTTTCAGCAAACCCTAAACCCTAAACGGCAGTGGCCCAAACAGCATGCAGCCCGAAAAACAACTCCACGGATCCACGAGCGCCAGTACTTTTGAGCCGTGCGGTTGTTCTTAGCCGCCGTGGAGCTTTCTGGAGTACAGGAGCCTTAAGAATTAGAACAGGGTTTCGGGGCCCATGATACCAAAATTAAAATAAGGGACCCACCAAAATAGTATTGCAAATGGCGCTGAAAATTATGTAGGCTCCTACAGTCTTGGGTTTCTCTCGAGTCTCATTATGCGGCTCGGAAACTGTTTTTTGAACCTACAAGAAGCTCCAAGCATAAGTATCTCGGTGGGTACAGTAGGAACAGCCCTACTGTTGATGGTATAAATCCTGCATTACCTCAAGGACCCTAAACTATGGGAATTATGGTATGTTCCGTATGATGACTCTAAACTAAAGCAGGATCTGTATCATCAGCAGTAGCCCTCTGATCTTCCTAGGACCCAAAAAGCCGCCATGCCGTGAAGAAAGGCTGCAGCACATCCCTGGCCTGTGTCCATATCATATGGGTCCCAAAGGGTCCTAGCTACTGTTACGGGGGATACTTCCCTAGGTCCTAATAATAACTCCTAACATAGAAACCCTACATTCTACTATATAGGTACTTTAGGACCCTTTGGGGTGTGGGGCTTAGGGATATATGCGCGATGCAGAGGCACCGTTTTCATTGGAAAGCTTGCAGTTTTCGGATGTCAGATCTAGGATGAAACTGTAGCTTTTCATCTTGGGATAATCCCAAACCTAAAACACCACAAAGCCAACATGGACTCCAGACCTCTGACAACCCCAAACGCTCCAAACACACCAAGAGCCCCACTGATTGGACTAGGGTTTTGGGGATTATTGTATTATGACTATAAGTTAAGGCCCCTATAGTAGACAGTTTTTGACCATTACAGATCCCCAAACCCTCGGCTCTGTCCCGTAAGCCCTGCAATCCTTAACCCTGAAGTCGCCCTGCTTGTGGCCATGCCTTTTTTCAGGAATTGTCCCTAGAAACCAAAATAAGGGAACCCTAAGAAGGTAGGTTTCTCCAAGTAATGTAGGGTTTAGGGTTTGGGGTTGAGGGTTTAGGGTTTAGAGGGGCCTTAATAAATAGAATAGGGTTTTGGGGGTTCCTTATTATGGTTATACGTAGTATACTATACCCCAAACCCTATTCTAATTATGAAGGCCCCTATATTGAATCCTAAAAGCCGCAGGCCTCCTCGGCCCTGAGCCTGAACCACCGAACGTGTCAAAGTCAGTTCCGAACGTAATACAGGGGCCTTATAATAATTTGAATAGGCTTTTGGGGTACCTGCTACTGTAGATGTACTAAGGAACCCCAAAAAGCAAAATAGCATTGCTTTTTTGTATTTAGGCCCCTATGGTATCAAAGTCAGTTCCCTGCCTTCCGAGACGAGCCGATAGCTTGCATCAGTTGCCTGGCACGTTTAGGGTTTAGCGGTTTAGGGTTTAGCGGTTTAGCGGTTTAGGGTTCAGGGGTCCAGGGGTTTAGGGTTCAGGGGTCCAGGGCGTCCGGGGTTCAGGGGTTTAGGGGTTCAAGGGTTAAGTGGTTGAGGGGTTTAGGGGTTGAGGGCTTTAAGGGTTGAGGGGTTTAGGGGTTTAAGGGTTTAGGGGTTTAGAGGTTGGGGCTTGGGGTTTAGAAGCAAGGCATTTGCTGCCCTGGGCCCAAACCACAGGTCTCGAAAGCTGCTTCCTGACCCAAGCCCTGAGGGTCCAAAGGACCCGATAATCAGGTACTTGGGTTTAGGGTTTAGGGTTTAGGGTTTAGGGTTTAGGGTTCAGGTACTTGGGTTACGGATAGTAGATTTCTAGGGTTTAGGGCTTAGGGTATCTAGTTTAATATCTGTCACACTTTATAGGATTATTATAGGTACTTGGACCCTTCGGGGAAATGTTCAGAAGGTCTCAGGTACCTCTAAAACCATCGACTTGAATCGGATGCCCCTGGCCCAAAAGCCCATTCTCCGAGCCCGCAGTCGCACAATCCTGAAGCCGCTAAATCCGGGTTTAGGGTTAGGGTTTAGGGTTTAGGGTGAAAGTGCTCGAAAAACCCTAAACCCTAAACTTGTCTGCAAGCTCCAGAGTTCCCCTAACCTCTAAGAACCACAGACACCTAACCCAACCCCGAAACCCCAACCTTCCCTAAAGACCTAGTTTAGGGTTTTAGGGTTTAGGGTTTAGGGTTTAGGGTTTAGGGTTTAGGGTTGCAGTGAGCCTGCATGTAACCTTGCTGGAGACTTAGGGTCAAAGTATAGATACATGAGCCGTTCCGGCCCCGTGCATGGACCTGAGTGCTAAACCCTATGAACCCCAATCGGATCCTTAAGGAAGCCTTTAAGGAAGGCCGGTGGGCTCTAAAAGGGTATTAGGCGGTTTCAAGAGGGTCCACTTTAGGGTGTGTATAATTACTATAGGGTTCCGTAATAGGGTCCCCTGTAAACGCACCCTAAACCCTAATATAGGGACCTTTATAATTAGAACAAGGTTTTGGGCTCAGTATAGTATAACTACAATAAGGAACCCCCCAAAGTTGTATTGGTACTTTTTTAGGCCCCTACACTACGCCCTTCACAGGAACCCGGCCTGTACTGGCCACCGACAGCCAATGATGAGCCAACCACATTGTCCACATAGAGCATAGACCTTGGGCTTCTCTGAAGCCAGTTTAGGGTGTAGGGTTTAGGGATTATGGGAATAGGGTGTGGGTTTAGGGCTTTTGTAGGTAGAATGTAGGGTTTCTCTGTTAGGAAGAACTGGAGATTGGGCCTAGGGTATACTTCGCACAAGCTCCAGAGACATTCACATGTGTTATCCTTACGCAGCGGGAAGCCAAAACCAAAGCCCAGGAGGGCTGGAGATCATGGGCACCTCCAAATCGAACTCTTAGGGTTTAGGGTTTAGGGTGACTCTAAGCCCCCAGCCCCAAACCCCCTCTTAGGGTTTAGGGTTTAGGGTAACTCTAAGCCCCCAGCCCCAAACCCCACATGCTATCGAATCGCTACAGAAACTCTCATAGAACCCTTTGAAGAAACACTTGTAAACCCCTGAGAGAAATCTTATAATTATCGAACCTAAACGGATCCGACGTCCGCTCGCCCGCCGGGGCTTGGACGCTGTGAGCTGCTCTGGGCTGATCGCCTCGGGGGACGCCAATCTGAAGACATGATGGCGATGTTGATGACAATGATGATGCTGAGGATGCTGCTGATGATGAACGTGGTTGAAACAATGGTAATCCTCATCCCCGTTTTCATCCTCATACTCTTCATCAGCTGCATCTCCACCTTCATCATCTTCTGCTTCTCCGTCATGACCATCATCGCCATCATCAAAAACCTAAAAACTGTAAGCCTAAAAACCCTAAACTATAAACACCTAAAACCCCGAAACCCTAAACCCAAGTAGCCGCCAAGATTGCGCTTTGTGTGTGGCCTTCTAAGAAGATTCGGGCCGGTGGTGTGATCTAGCGAGCCATGGCGAAAAGCCAAGGGTTCAGGGGTTTAGGAGCTTAGGAGTTGTTTAGGGATTAAGGGTTTAGGAGTTGTTTCGGATTGGGGCTTAGGAGTTAAGAGTTGTTTAGGATTTGGCGTTTAGGAGTTTAGGAATTGATAAATGCGCTTGAGCTTTGGAGGTTGGATTTAGGTTTAGAGGTTCGGGTTTAGGGTCTATAGTGGAGTAGGATCCGGACACTACTAGCAAAACTTGGCTGACTTCTGAAACCCTCCTAAAAGTTAAAACTTTTAGCCTACTCATTATGGTGCATATAGGAACCCAAACAGTTAAAGTCCTAAGAGCCAGCCAGAAGAACGCCGAGAAAGGATCAGTGGACTGAGGAGCCGAAACGGGGGCTTTCAGTAGATGTGGGCTTTAGGGTTTAGGGTTAAGGAAAGCCAGGATAGCTCTTGTTGCCTTACTTATCGCCCTACTTACGAAGTTCTATGATCCTTGAAGTACCGAATATGCAGGATCTAAGGGCTCATTAAGGGTCACATGTATACACATTTCCTATTCTGACGTCTGCGTGAACTCAGCAACAAGCCTTGTCCCATTTAGAGCAGCTGACACTGGAGGTAAGGAAGTACAGAAGTCTGTCAACAGCTCGCCTCCCACGACAAATGTCCTGCACGGATAAACAGCGATAGTGTCTGCACCAGAAGATGACATCTTCACCAGAATATACAATATGGCATGATCGTATGTTACAGTATGCTATATTACGTTGTATTTATGCTGAATTACGCTATGTTACATGAGATGATATGAGCTTCAGGGAATCGGGTCAGGGTTCCGGGTTCTGGGCAGAATATACAATATGGCATGATCGTATGTTACAGTATGCTATATTACGTTGTATTTATGCTGAATTACGCTATGTTACATGAGATGATATGAGCTTCAGGGAATCGGGTCAGGGTTCAGGGTTCGGGGCAGGGCTGCGACCTGAAAGACGCTCTCCTCAGCCCGAGACCCCTCGTGAAACCAGCACACCGCCTGTGCCCAGCGCGACTGCCTGGCAGAAGGGTGTAGGGTTTAGGGTTTATAGGGAATGCTGAAAATGTAGATTGTAAGTAGTAGCATCAAGTCCGTGGTGGTCATGGCAGCAACGGCAGCATCAGCGACAGCATGACTGGCATCATCGTGATCACACTCGCGGATATCATCATGGACATCATGAACAATGCTATGGGCCAAGCCCTGAAACCCTCAACCCCTAAACCTACATCGCAAACCTAAACCAGACCCTATCATGCGGAGAGATGATCAGATAGGCATTCCGGTGTCTGCTCACCATGGAGTCTGGGGAGTTCAACAACGTTGATTCGAATCAGCACGGCTTTGGGTTTAGGGACCAGGAATCTTCTAAGCTGTGCAGCTGGTGCCGTAAATCAAGGATTCCCATATCCACCCTAAACCCTAAACCCTAAACCCTAAACCCTAAACCCGAGTATTTGCTGGACAGTGGAGACTATGGTGTATCATCCGAACTGGCTCAGAAATCGTTGATTGAATCGATGCTGCTTCGCTTGTCGGGTCGATGCAGGGCAGGCAAGACCCTGATTACACATGCATTGCAGACTTTAGGTAGTATTATTAGGGGTACCCCTTAAAAGGTACCCCTTCTGAACCCTACTTTTGGCTCTCCTAAAAGGGACCTTATTGAGAGGGTCTATAAAGGGTCCCCCGAATCCTAGCTGCCAGATTTGCGGAAATGTACAGGTAGTAAAAACAAGACAAGATGACAAGGACGAGGAGTGGCCAGCCCTACGGCTTCAAGGTTCCTTTCCTTAGTCCAGCAGGTCTATACAGGGCTGCACTTGGCTTGACCGGGAATCCAACTTCAGTTACTCGAAATGACTATAAATTCTTGAAATTGCCCACCGTTGGACAGACCGGGGGCAGCGTTGGAATCCATAGACCCCTCAAGCCCCAAATGAACTCTCTATAGTCTAACAACTCGCTCGACCCTCCATGTTTGGCAGGCCTTGATGCCCTCAGTCAAGCCATTGTAGAAGGTCGCATAGAGTCCATAGGCAGCACCACGCTGATGCTCCAGAAAGATCAGGTTGTAGGACTCTTGTTCGTACCTCATCGTGATAACGGTTCAGTGCTTGAGGGCTGTAGGGGGAAGTAAGCGTGCTCGCAGATGAGAGACGGTAGATCCTAGACGAGTTGACTGGATGTTGCACCCCTCAATCTCAAACCCTGCACGACTAAACCCAAAATGTCAGCAGTCCCTTTAAAAGAACCCTTAAAGGAACCGTTCAAGGTCGGTGGAGCGCTAAATATTATACCTTACCCCCCAATTCATAAAACAAGGCTCGGCGCCAACAAGTTTGCGGATCATCAACGACACCGCAGGGTCCACCCTAAACGTTAAAGCCCTGAACATACCTATATATAGTCTCCATTCTAGTTCCTTTTTTTGGTTTGACCAATTATATA